CCTCCCCCCCTCCTCCTCCTCCTCCTCCCTGTATTCTCCATTCCCTTCTAGCACTGATGATGCTCCCTAGTTGGGTCATGAAACGTCTGCAAGAAAACCTCCAAGGTCAGAGAGCACCGAAGTCCCTACATCGTCCATGTTCAAAATCTAAGACATGCCCAGGTTCTTAACCACCCATGAAACGTTCCTGAGGTCCAGGAGAAATCCATGGTGTAGCAAGGGCCCCCAAATCCCAGGTCAGAGGAGAAGACCAGCCTGGTCCTTCCAAGATCGGAAAGCGAAGAGGTCCAGCATGAGGTCCACCTCTCTATGGTTCTGATCTCCCAGAGAGGCCTCCTCAGAAATCTTATGGAAGATCTTCAGAACTTGGTTGGTTGGTCGCCCTAGAATTAAACTGGCATTAGTGGACCACGAAACCAGTTGGGCTGTGCTGGGGTGGGACCCGTGTTTTGGTACCTTGATCCCTTTCTTTGGGGGTCTTCACCCCCAAACCTGGAAGCAGACCTTTCTGTTTCTGGAGAACCTCAACACCAGCAGTGACCGATCTCCAGTTAGCAATCGTGGTAGTTTGGCCAATAAGCAACCTCTCTTAACTGTGGCACTGTGAGAGATGTTCAAATGTGGGTCGTATGTACCCGACTTACGACCACAGTGGAGTTCCACATTTCTGTTGTTAAGCAAGACAGTTGTTCAGTGAGCTTTGCCCCATCTTATGACCTTTCTTGCCACCGTCGTTAAGTCAATCCCTGCGATTGATTAATTAATAGCCAGTTGCTAACTGAATCTGGCTATCCCTCATTGACTTCACCAGTCAATGGGTCGCAAAAGGGGACCCCGGAACGCTGCGACCGTCGTAAATATGAGTCAGTTGCCCAGCATCTAAATTTTGATCAAGTGACTGTGGAGATGCTACAATGGCCGTAGGTACTAAGTCCCTTTTTTCGGAGCTGTCACTAAATGAACAGTTGTAAGTCAAGTACCTTTTAAGGGGATCTGTCGTAGCTTCAAACAGCGCCAAAATCTCTGGCCGTAAGTCGAGGATTCCTCCTGTGCGATTTCTTATTTACCCAAGTGCTGTGATCAGGTTAAATGCAGAGTTATGAATCTGGTGGTCTTAACATATATATATATCCTGGTTGTACAGTTTTTAACTGTTATTTGTTTTAATTTGTTTTACATTGTTATTTGTATGTGTCTTTTAGTGTTGTTCAGTTGTATGTTGTGGAAGAGCACCTTGTTTCGTTGTTCTCAGGTTTCTGAGTACAATGACAATAAATTTATCTATCTATCTATCTATCTATCTATCTATCTATCTATCTATCTATCTATCTATCTATCTATCTTATTCTTCCCGTTGTTGTCTGAATGTGAACCTGTTTCTTTATCTCTTCAGATGCTATTCCCGAAATGTTGAATTCCGACGACCGTCCAGTTTTGCAAGCCATGTTCCTGAGCAACAATTGTTTCGAACACATCATACGATTGATCCAAAACAGCAAGGTAAAAAAAGAAAAAACGCCTAGTTTTTCCAACCGACATGGGTGGGTTTCCTTAAATTTCAGAAAAATGTGTTTTTTTTTTTCTCTTTTCATTTTCCTCTGGTACCAAGTAGAATTCTCACGGCCCAATCTCAACTTCTGTTTTTCTATAGGTAGTCCTCGATTTACAACCGCAATAAGGAGGTGGTTGTTCAGTGAGTTTTGCCCCATTTTAACCGCCTTTCTTGCCACCGTTGTTAAGTGAATCACTGCAGCTGATCAGTTAATAATCTGGTTGTTAAGTGGCTTCCCCATTGAGTATGCTTGTCAGAAGGTCACAAAAGGGGGATCGCTTGATCATGGGACGCTGAGGCTGTCATAAGTACGAACCAGTGGCTAAGATGTTGATCAAAAGTCCCTCTTTTCGGTGCCGTGTAACTTTGAACGGTCACATAACAGATGGTTCTAAGTCGAAGACTCCTTGTGCATCCTCAGGGGGGTGCCCTTAATTCCCTTCTGCCTCTAAACCAGGGTTTGTATACCGTATGGGTCAAAAAAGTCAAAATGGCAGCACCAACGATCACAGGATTGTATGTAGAACTGGGCAAAGTTCAGCTTGCCTGCTATTTTAGGATTTTTTGAACACTTCCTGCAAACATCCCCACAATGAGCAATGAATGGGGAGGCATCGTAAAATAAAAAATACTGAATAATTACTAATTACTGATTACTAATAATCAATAGCTAATTAATAACTAATTCTTAATAAATAACGCTATTATTAAAGCTAGACTGGATATGCTCTTGAGACAGAGAAGGATTATTGCAAGCCAGGGAATGTTTCAAGCAATTTTTCGAGGCGCAAACCATGATCCATTGGGTCAGGGTCAGCGTTAGCATTAAAAGAGAATGTTAGATCCTTGCCAAGAGTCCTCTTAAGCCCTTTGTGGTCATTAAGCAAATCTAATTTCCCCTGGGGATGGTTTTCCAGTGCAGGAAATGAGGGTTGGGTTGATGGATATCTTTTTGAACGGAAAAAAACGACAGCTGAAACGGCTGACAGTTTTGTGTCCCAGATGGTTCTCCATCCCTTCGTTCTCCGCCTTCAAAGCCCGCCTGGACATCTCATAAATAAACCCCGATTTCTCTCTCTTGAGGTGGCTCTGGTCTGTCTCTCTCCGGGGCTATTTTTAAACACGGCTTCTTTAAACAAACTAGGATCTGTCCTTCCTCTGTTGGTTTTTTCCATTTTAACGGTTGTGCACACGTCTGTCCGTTATCTTACCTGGAAACTCTTAACTCGTTAAGATTTCTGGTTGCTACAACAGCCACTCCCACTTTTCCACCGGACTCACAATTCGGCAATCACAACGGTCCTTTTTTTCACAGGGGGGAGGAAAACAGGGGAGGGGGACTCGGGTTTGGGATGGGTCTGGAGGTCGGAAAGTGGCAGCCTGCGGAGTTTGGGGATTGGGTTCGCTTGGAGCGGCTGGGGAACCCCATTGAATTCTGGGATTACCCTTAGTCCTCGGCTTACAACCACAGTCGGGAGCAGGATTTCCATTGCCAAACAACGTGGTTCTTACCCGAGTCAATTTAGCAGTTGTTAAGTGAATCACATGGTCATTAAGTGAAACCGGCTTCCCCTTGTCAGAAGCTAGCTGGGAAGGTCAACAAATGGGGATCGCGTAATACATGCTGGTAGCTAAGCCCCCAAATTTAGATCCTGTGACCCTGAAGAGGCTGCAAAGGTCGTAAGTGTGAGGAGCGGCTATAACCCACTCTTTTTGGAACTCCAGAGGTCCACTAAATGAATGGTTGTAAGTTGAGGACTACTGTATAGTTAGCGGATATGCATCTTGGCCAACCCAAAAGGCGAGTCCTCCAAGGTCGCTTCTGACTCTGGTGTGGGTTTGTGGAGAAGAGGAGGAGGAAAGGAAGGAAGGAAGGAAGGAAGGAAGGAAGGAAGGAAGGAAGGAAGGAAGGAAGGACGGACTGTGGGGTCCTTGGTGCTCTCTGAGCTTGGTTGCTTTCTTGCAAACATCTCATGACCCAACTACAGAACATCATCAGTGCTAGAAGGGAGGTGGGTTTATGGAGAGGAGGAGGAGGAGGAAAGGAAGGAAGGAAGGAAGGAAGGAAGGAAGGAAGGAAGGAAGGAAGGAGGGACCTTGGTGCTCTCTGAGCTTGGTTGCTTTCTTGCAAACATTTTATTACGGAGCTAGGTAACATCATCAGGACGAAGGAAGAGGAGGAGGAAGAGGAAAAAGAGGGGGAAGAAGAGGATGAGGATGAGGATTGGGAGAGGGGGGTCCGTGATGCTTTCTGAGCTGGGTGGTTTCCTTGCAGATGTTTTGTGACCAAACTAGGGAACACCATCAGTGCCATAAGGGGTGGTGTTTCTCTGTGTTCCTATAAGGTGGCATGTCCTATCAACACTGGGGATGAAGAACCTGTGGAGATCACTCCCAATGCTGCTGGTGCAAGCCAGTACTATTTAGAAAAACAGCAAACCCTCCCCTCCTTTCCAGCACTGATGACATTCCCTAGTTGGGTCACGAGACGTCTGCAAGGAAACCTCCCAGCTCAGAGGGCACCAGGGACCCCCACAGCTCCATCCTGAGCTACAAACTCTCCCTCCCATCTTGAAAATCTGGAGGATTCAGCGTTCCGGTTTGCAGAGGTTTTATTCCTCTCCGAAACCCTCCGGGCAAGTCCTGGACTCTGCTGTCTGTGGCCCCGGGGCCAAATCGCTGGGTGGTGTTATGATATGTACAGAAAAACCCTTGAGGAACAAGGTTATGCACATGGAAACGTTTATGAGAGTAGTTATGAATAATGATCCAGCCACACACAGATACACTAAATTGAGCTAAAGTTTACTCTAAGAAATAGCACAATGGTCCTGGTCATAAACGTTTAACAGTCCAAAGAATATCCAATGACAAAGTCTTCTTACCGGTTGCCTTTGTCATTTACAGTAAACAAAGATGTCAAAGTATAAGCACAACAGAGAACCTTAGATAGCAACAGAATGTCAGAGAGACAGAACGTCAGAGAGAGCAAGCCGTGATCTCTAGCTCCCTCTTGGGGCAACTTGCAGCACAACTAGTCGGAATACAGTTTTTGTCTTAAAGCTACAAACATGTATTGTTGGTTTATCTATTGCCAGCCAAGTAATTGGTGGACAGATTCCTAATAGGTGGGTCCCTTCCTTTTCTGGGGAGACCCCCCCCTCTCCCCGGCCTGGCTCTCTCCATGCTCCCCCCTTGGCCCCTCTGGAATGACGACCCTGGTTTTTTGACCCTGTTTCCGACAGCTCTACCTGAGCAGGGAATGCAAAACACCTGCAGGGCATCTGGCCCCACGGCTGCTGACTGAGGTGGACTCCCATCAGGTACAGCCTCCTGCTGCTTCTTGTGGTGTGGCAGCGGCGCATGGGGGCTGCATGGGGGCTGCTCTCTTTTCACGCAGGGGATGGGAGGGGCATCCCACCAGCTTTTGCACGCTTCTCATGAATGGTGTGTGTGTGTGTGTGGCGTTCAGAAAACTGGCACTCGGGAATGTCTTGAAATGGGAGGGAGGGAGGAAGGGAGGGAGGGAAGATAGAAGGAAGGAAGAAAAGGAAAAAGAGAGGGAAAAAGGAAGGAAGGACAGGGTGGGAGGGAGGGAGGGATGGAAGGAAGGAAAAGGAAAGAGAGGAAGGGAAGAAAGGAGGGAGATAAGGAGGGTAGAAGGAAAGAAGGAAAGGAAAGAAGGAAAAAAGGAGAAGAGGAAGGAAGGAAGAACACGGTGGGAGGGATGGAAATAAAAAGAAAGATGGGGAAGAAAGGAAGAGCAGAGTGGAAGGGAAGGAAAGAAAAGGAAAGAAGGAAAAAGGAGAAGGAAGGAAGAATGAAAGGAAAGAGGAAGGATAGGAAGGAGGGAGGGAGGAGGAAAACAAGGAAAGAAGGAAAAAGGAGAGGGGGAAGGAAGGAAAGAAAAAAGGAAAGAGAGGGAGGGGAAGAAGGAAGGAAGGAAGGAAGGAAGGAAGGAAGGAAACAATGGTTTGCAACAACAAAAAATCATAAATCCCTGTCAATTGATCATGAAAGACTCCAAACAGCTAAAAGTGCCAGTCAGTTGCCAAATGCCCAAAATATTATCATTTGACCATAGGGCGGGGGGGAGGAGGGGCAGCCATAAGAGAGGTCCAGAGGCTAAGGCAACCAGTCATAAATCGAGGAGTGCCTGCAAAGAGATAATCAAGGCTGCCTCCTTGTGGTAGAAGTACAAAACCAATCATCCCCAAGCTCTCTGACACACACACACACACACACACACACACACTAGGGGTGGGCCTACTCTGGACCTATCAATTCTGCAATCCAAAATTGCATGTATTATTATTATTGTTATTGTTATTATACACAAAAAACAACAATGTACACAGCAAACGAGATAACTATGCTGGGTTTCGTATGATAAATCTCTGGTTGAACACTTCGACTAGTGATTATTCGTGAACATTATGATGACGACGATGATGTCCGATGAAAGGAACGCTTGTCCCTGTCAATAACTTGCGTCCATTTGAAATTGGATTCCCAGGATGAGACTCGAACCCAGCACCCCTCCTTACAACAAGGAGGAATACATTTGCAAAATTTGAGCCCCCCCCCAACAGAACCCATCAATTTCAAAGCAGGGGGTGATTTTGGAGTTTTGCAAGCAGTGGATGCAGAAATTCACATCCTTCCTGGATCTGACATGTTGCCAAGGTTTGGAATTGCGGTAGAAAAATCTAGTCCTAAAATAAACCATGGTTTGCACACGCTTGCTCTAGCTTGGCCCTGCTAAGAAATCCAAAATTTCCTCCTCTCTGGATTGAAAAGTATTTTTTTGTTCATCCCAGCCCTGCACACTCTTGGTCGGTGAACTACATACAGGTAGTTCTCAAATTACGACCACAATGGAGCCAACACTTGTCAAGTGAGTTTTACAACTTTTCTTGCTGTTAAGTGAAGCACAGAAGTTCTTAAGTTAGTAACCCAGTCGTTAAGAGAATCTGGTTTCTCTATTGACTTTGAGTCAGTTGCCAAACATACCTGAGTTTACCCCACGTGACCATGGGGACCCTGCAACAGTCGTAAGTGTGAAAAACGGTCATTGGTCCCTTTTTACGGTGCCGTTGTAACTTTGAACAGTCAGTAAACGAACTATTGTAATGGCTGAGAACAAGCCAGGATCTGCACTGTTCTTTGCCTGTTCCTAAATCGCATCCACAGACTTCAAGGCCCAAATAAATGGAAAGAAATGGGGTGGATGAGTTTGCATGCTTGTTTCAGCTTGTTCCGGTCTAGGGAAACCATGGTTATCTGAATTAAAGCGGTAAACATTTCTGAACTCGCTGGGATCTGCATGTGACCCATTAAACGAACGAAATTCCTTTCCTCCTGCCGGTTGTGGTAGCCAGGGAAACTGAGGAAAGCTTTTGAAAGTTGGCTGGCTAAAAAGAAAGAAACATCTAGGCAACATCTGTGTGAAACTGACCGGGAGCTTGCCTGTGGAGGGGGGAAAGCAATTAACCATCCTTTCCTTGAAAAAGGAAGAAAAGGGGGATCTCAGCTTAGCATTTTGACAAGTTTTCCGAGTTTGCAGCCTCTCCAGGACATTTGCAGGTAGTTCTCCACTTACGACCGGAATTGGAGTCCAAAATCTCCGTTGCTAAACGAGACAGTTTCTAAGTGAGTTTTGCCCCATTTAACGACCTTTCTTGCTACAGTTGTTAAGCAAACCCTTCCAGTTGTTAAGTCAGTCACACGATTGATTCCATAATTCCTGTCGCTAAGCAAACCTGCTGTTAAGTCGATGGTGCCTGATTTTACAACCTTTCTTGCCATGGTCATTAAGCGAATCATTGCAGTTATTAAGTTAGGAACAGGGGTCATTAAGGGAATCTGGCTTCCCACACTGACCTTGCTTGTCAAAAGGTCACAAAAAGGGATCACATAACCCCGGGGGCCCCTGCAACGGTCATAAACACGAGTCAGTTGCCAAGCGTCCGAATTTTTGTGATGGCAGGGATGACGCAACCAATATAAACACACACCCAGTTTGCTCAAATTTCGACCTCGTGACAATGTCAATGCTGCAACGGTCGTAAGTGTGAGCACAGATCATAAGTAACTTTTTTTTAAAAAGGGGGGTATTGCATTTTCGAACGGTTGCAAAGCAAACAGTTGTAAGCCAAGGACTTCATTTGCAGCTGGACTTATAATAGTGGTGTTTCTCTGCCCCCTGCTGTTTTCAGTCTTCATTTGCGGATGGACACAATTTGCCGTTTCCATGTTCGTTTTTGTGTCCCGTGGAGGCGGCTGCTTAATTTAATGGCTTGGCTTCCTTGAGGATCAATCACCTTGTCACAAGTTGGTGTTTGTGTGAGGAGGGGCTGGCTGCGTAGTTGTGGTTTTTGCGGTGCTTTGTCCCTCTCAAACAATTTCCTACTCAATTTCTGACTCAATTTTCTGACAGAAAACATGAAGTGAAAAAATATATCGGTGCTTTTTTTTTTAAAATTCAGGTAGTTCTCGACTTACGACCAAAGTTGAGCCCCAAATTTATGTCGCGAAATGAGAGAGTGATTAAGTGAATTTTTGCCCCGTTTTACAACCTTTCTCGCCCAAGTTATTAAAGGGAATCGCTGCATTCGTTACATGCAGGAACATGGTCCTTAAACGAATCTGGCTTCCCCCTTGACTCTGCTTGTTAAAAGGTCGCAAAAGGGGATCGGGTGAGAGTGTGACTGTCGTAAATACGAGTCAATAGCCCCAAGCATTTGAATTCTGATCATGTGAATACGGGGACGCTTTGAACGGTCCTAAGTGTGAAAAAGGATCATTACTCAATTTTTTTCAGTGCTGTCGTAACTTTGAACGGTCACTAAGTGAATTGTCGTAAGTTGAAGACTACCTGTATTCCCTATCTCTGCCTCTCCTCTTCCAGGTTTATTTTATTTTACTCTTTATTTTATTTGTATCCCGCCTTTATTATAATCGCAAATAATTCAAGGTGGTGGACGCATTTAACACGCTGCCTTCCTTCTCTTCCTGTTTTACCTAAAACAACAACCCTGCCAGGTAGGCTGGGCTCAGAGAAAGCGACCGGACCAAGGTCATCCAGCTGGTTTTCATGGCTAACGCAGGACTTGAACTCACGGCCTTCTGCTTCTTCTTGAACACCCACTGGAAGCCCTTGAGATGTTGGTCTGCCCGTGATGATATTTTTGTCGTTTTGACGCCGTTTTTTCTTTTTTTTCCCCCAAAACCCCCAGGTTTTCGACAGCAGTTCAGACGCCATCGCGATTCACGCCATCGGGGTCCTTACCTCCATCATGGCTACCTCTCCCGCTGCTAAGGTAAGAGGTCACACACACACACACGGCATGTCTGAATACCCCAGAGCGGCGATCAGCCTGCAGGCCAACAGAACTGACTTGGTGGGGTCCTTGGTGCTCTCTGAGCTGGGTGGGTTTTTTTGCAGACATCTAATGACCCAACTAGGTAATGCCATCAGTGCTAAAAGGAGGAGGACTGTGGGGTCCTTGGTGCTCTCTGAGCTGGGTGGTTTTCTTGCAGACATCTAATGACCCAACTAGGTAATGCCATCAGTGCTAAAAGGAGGAGGACTGTGGGGTCCTTGGTGCTCTCTGAGCTGGGTGGGTTTTTTGCAGACATCTAATGACCCAACTAGGTAATGTCATTGGTGCTAAAAGGAGGAGGAATGTGGGGTCCTGGGAGCTCTCTGAGTTGGGTGGGTTTTTTGCAGACATTTCATGACCCAACTAGGGAACATCATCAGTGCTAGAAGAGACTGCATATAAACAGGAAACAACCCACCCTCTTCTCTCGCACTGATGATGTTCTCTAGCTGGGTCATGAAACATCGGAAAGAAAGCCACCAAAATCAGAGACCACCAAAGACAGCCCTCCTCCTCCTCCTCCTTTCTACAAATCCCCTCTTCCTTCTAGCCCTGATGATGTTCCCTACTTGGGTCATGAAACGTCTGCAAAGAAACGGCCAAGGTCAGAGCATTAAGGACCCCACAGTTCAACTGTTGAGCTACAACGATTTACTTCTATTGAGATAGATGATAGATGGATGGAGAGATGGAGGAATGGAGGTATGCATGATCAGAAGGGTGATTGGATGGATGGCTAGATAGATATTTTATAGATTAGAGAGAGAGGGAGAGAGAGGGAGATCATTGCAGAGAGAAAGAGAAAGGCAGGCAACCGGATAGATGGATGTTTGGATGGATGGATGGATGGACAGACAATTGGATGGATGGATGGATAGGTAATTGGCTGAAAGGAGGAATGGATGGACAATTGGATCAAGGGATGGGTGGACAATTGGATGAAGGGATGGATGAATGGACAATTGGATGGATGGATGGATGGATGGATGGATGGATGGATGGATGGGCAATTGGATGAAGGGATGGATGGATGGATGGATGGACAGTTGGATGAAGGGATGGATTGATGGGCAATTGGATCAAGGGATGGGTGGACAATTGGATGAAGGGATGGATGAATGGACAATTGGATGGATGGATGGGCAATTGGATGAAGGGAGGGATGATTAGATGAATAGATCGATCGATCGATAGATAGATAGATGATGGAAGGAGGAACGGAGGGAGAGAAAGAGAGAGAGGGAGACTCCCCGAAGTTTGCCAAATGACCCACCATGGTGTGGAGGGATCTAGCCAGGGTTAACCACCGACTGTCTTCTCTAGGAGGTCTTCAAAGAGAGGATTGGCTACTCCCACCTCTACGAGGTCCTGAAGAGCCAGAGTCAGCCCACCAAGAAACTCCTGCAAGAGCTGCTCAACATGGTGAGAACGTTGCGCTTTCCGATTTGGGAGCCTCGTTTGTTTTCGTGGCTTTTTGCATCTGGTCCTTCAAAACTGAAGAGGTTTATCTGGGGTCATAGCCAGGGTCTGAAAGTGGTTTGCGGATGCTTTTTTTAAAAAAACTGCTTAACTCCCCTTCCCAGTGTAGCCTGTCTCCTTTCACAATCCCACTTGGCCTTTTTTCAAGGTCAACGTTGAATTGAATTAGGGATAGAACTGAATTAGAATCAGACTTGAATTAGGATTAGGATTAGAATTAAAATCAGGATTAGAATTACATCAGAATTAGAATTATTAAATCAGAACTACGTTTAGTATTGGAATTAGAATTAGAATTAAAATGGACTGGAATTAGAATCAAATTAGAATTATTGTATTAGAATTACCTGAGAATAATTAGATTTAGAATCGAATTAGAATTCAAATTCAATTAGAATTAAATGTTGAGTTAAAGTCAGTTAGAAGAGTTGAAATTCAACTAGAATTATCAAATGAGGATTGGGTTTAGAACTGAGTCAGATTCAGAGTTAGAATTAGAACCAAATTAGAATTGTTGAATTAGAATTAGGACTGAATTAAAATCAGAGTCGAATCAGGGTTGGAATTCGCATTAGCCATAACTCACCTTCAGACCGGTGACCCTTTTCCCAGGCTGTTGAAGGGGATCACACCGCCTCTCCTCCGCGCCTCATCCACAACGAACAGCCGCTGCTGATCCTGACGCAGTGGATTCCCGAGCTCACCTCCCGAGACCTCCAGATATTCCTTTCCGAGTGGCTGAAGAAAATCTGCAACGCTTCACTCCAGAGCCTCACCACCTGCGTCCGGGCGGGCATGGTGGGTTGCCTGTTGGATGCGCTGAGCGCCGCGCAGCAGAATCTCGACCGCAAATGCACCGAGAACCTTGTCGACTTGCTGCAAGCGCTCGGCAGCCTCTCGATCCGTCCGGGCGAGTTACGGCAGTTGCTGAAACTCCTCCGGACCGAGAACGGCGCGGGGTGCCACCCGTACACCGTAAAAGTCGTGCGAGCTCTTTCGGGCATGGCGCGCAAGGAGAGACCTGATCGAGCCCTGCAGTATTTCGACCTGGTGCCCAGCATGGCGGGGATCATGGTGCCTACCATCCAGAAGTGGCCCGGGGTTGGCTTCGCCTTCCACGCCTGGCTGTGCCTCCTAGCCGAAGAAACCAAGGACCCTCCGGAGGAAACGGGACGGCTGAAGCGGAAACAACTGTACAGGTGGGAGTGCCTGGCACACTTAGGCGCTGTGGCGTGACACCCCATCTTCCATGCTCTGAAAGGGATTGGGGAACCCGACCTCTGGATTAGGGGGAGGATTGGAAGCCAGAGATCATTCTGTAAAGTTGACACCTGGGCTTAAGAGCAGTGTTTCTCCATTTTGGCAAGTTTAAGATGGGTGGACTCCAACTCCCAGAATCCCCCAGCCGGCATGTTTTAAGAGGGGTGGACTTCAACTCCCAGAATTCCCCAACTGGTATGCTTAAATTATGTAGACTTCAACTCCCAGAATCCTCTAGCCGGCATGCTTTAAGTTATGTAGACTACAACTCCCAGAATCCCCCAGCCAGCATGTTTTAAGAGGGGTGGACTTCAACTCCCAGAATCCCCCAGCCAGCAAGGTTTAAGAGGGGTGGACTCCAACTCCCAAAATCCCCCAGCCAGTATGCTTTAAGAGGGGAGAACTCCAACTCCCAGAATCCCCCAGCCAGTGTGCTTTAAGAAGGGAGGACTTCAACTCCCAGAATCCCCCAGCCAGGATGCTTTAGGAAGGGTGGACTTCAACTCCCAGAATCCCCTAGCCAGGATGCTTTAAGAGCGGAGGACTCCAACTCCCAGAATCCCCCAGCCAGTATGCTTTAAGAGGGGAGGACTTCCACTCCCAGAATCCCCCAGCCAGGATGCTTTAAGAGGGGAGGACTTCCACTCCCAGAATCCCCCAGACAGCATGCTTTGAGAGGGGAGGACTTCAACTCCCAGAATCCCCCAGACAGCATGCTTTGAGAGGGGAGGACTTCCACTCCCAGAATCCCCCAGCCAGGATGCTTTGAGACGGGAGGACTTCCACTCCCAGAATCCCCCAGCCAGCATGCTTTAAGATAGGTGAACCAATGTCAGAATTCTCCAGCCCGCATGGCAGACTAGACAATTCTGGGAGTTGAAGCCCACTTACCTTAAAGTTACCACGGCCAGAAAGATAACCCTAAACTAACCATGATTGAAAAAGCAGGCAGGTTGCTCCATTCTGCTGGAAAAAGTTTAGGTTGTCCACTTAGTTTGGGAAGTAGGACTTTACACCTGCTCAGGTGAGCCTGAAAGCCTGACCTCGGGTGGGCCCCTTCCTTCCGGGTGCTCACTTGTCCTTCCTTCCTGTCCCACACAGCTTCTTCACAGCCAGTGGGACCGGCTTCGAGGCCTTCTTCACCACGGAGGGCATGTTGGTGGTGGCTGTTTGCACCAAGAAGGAGTATATGACGGTCGCTTTGCCAGAGATTCTCTTCAACGACGCAGCCTGGGTGAGCGACGGCTGGGCTGTGCAAGTTTGGGGTGTCTAGGGACAGAATCCAGGGGTCCCCACACGGCCGAGGCTGGATATTTGTAGCCGAGTCAGATGCCCTCCGGAGACCTTAGACAACAATTATACTCAGATCGGTCGAAATTGTACCGAAGAGGCTCGTCTGGATGGCTGCATTGTCAACCCCCCCCCCCAAAAGCTACACATTTGGGGTACCCTTTTTGGGGGGGAGGATGCAGGGATATCCAAAGAGGCCCCCCCCCACCAAAAAAATCAAGATAGCATCTTTGGCCAATTAAAGACACAATAGAATAATCACAGGATTCAGATCGTTATAAGCACGGCTGCCATCTTGACTTTTCTGACCTCTACTTTCTGTGGCCACCTTTGCGGGGGAGGGGCTTTATTTGGGGAAATCACAGAGAGACCCCTCCCCCTCTAAATCTCTAACCTGCGCTGATCAATTTAAAAACTTTAATGGGAATTTTAAACTTTTGAGGACTAGTTTTTAATGGAGCCAAGAAAATGACAGGTGTTCCTCCACTTACAACCACTCATTTAGCGACCATTCGAAATTGCGATGGCGCTAAAGAGACTGACTTAATGACCAGTCCTTGCACTCATGACCGTCGCAGCCTCCCCACAGTCCTGTGATCGAAATTGCAACATGCTTGGCAGTGCGGTAGTAGCGGCCCCCTCCCGCCATCCTCTGATCACGGTTTGCAACCTTCCCAGCGGTCTTCTGATGAGAAAAGTCAATGTGGGAACTGGATTCACTTAACGACCGCATGATTCATTTAACAACTGCAATTTACTTATTTGGAAACTTTATACGACTGCCGCTCACTCTCGACGACCCTGGGCGTCTTGTTTTCCTTAACAACAAAAAGTCGTAAAATCAGGCACGGCTCCCTTAACAGCTGCCTTGTTTAACAATGCAAATTCAGGTCCCAGTTGTGGTTGTAAGTTGAGTCCTACCTTTAACAAGATATCACTTGGAGAGGGTGTCTCTTGAAACGTATCTGCTTGGACGATAGTTTTCCAAATCGACCCACGTTTTGTCCGTAACACTTTTCATCGCCTTTCCGTTCCGTATCCGCAACTTGACAAATGTCGCCGTTCCGATGGAGTGAAACCGCCAATCTTTGCTTCCTTTCATTGCTAGCATTGTGTTGACGTCGTCCACATCGTGGGCCGCCGGCTGTTCAGTCAGAATCTGGTGAACATTTTCGTAGATGGTGAATCCCGGAAAGAGGCTCAGCTGCGTTTCCCGTCCCTCGGCGAGGTACGTTGTCCTCAGGTTACGCCGTACGTTTTTATTGATCTATAAAAACTGCACCCAGGAGGATGCGGACAGCCAGAGGATCGTTAAAACCAGTCCTACTGGTGACAACTTTAGGAAAACTGGATCACATTTGTTCCTCCAAAGGGATCTCTAGGACAACTCACCGTGGCCGATTCATTATGTCCGACTCCCCGTAGGACAATCCAATGCTGTATTAATCGTTTCTGTCAGTTACTTTTATTATTTTCATTATCAAAATTATTGTAGCCGGGGGTGGGATTTAGCCGGTTCCAACCGGTTTGAGTGAACCGGTTGTTAAATTTACATCTAGTTCACCAAATTTGAAGGTGAGAAGCTTCTTGGATGAGAAGTGAAACGTCTTCAAAGAAAAACCAGGAAGTCCATTTGGGATAACCATGACCGTGTGACAGAGAAGTTCCATAGATATCTGAAGAAAGTGTTTTGAAATGGTGGCCATCCACATCCCTTTCTGGATTTTATAACGGGACATAGAAGGCGTTTCAATTCTCATCCAAGAAGCTTCTTCAGAGCTGAGGAAGCTTCTTGGATGAGAAGCGAAACGCCTTCAAAGAAAAACCAGAAAGTTCAGTTGCCTCTTGGAAAAGCACCTTTGGGACATCTTCTTCAGATGTTCTCCCAGGTGGTTTGGACTTCAGCCCACACAATTTTGCACGATCGCTTCAGAGGGATTACGGTGTTGAAGTTCTAGTGATTTGGAAGACACCAACTTGGAAAAAGGAAGGTCTAGAAAATAGGACAAGGACGGACATATTTATACCTTCTGAATGTCCAACTTTTCTCCTCTTCCTTGGCCAGGCCTTCACGTCTTGCTGCATTGGTTCTGCTGGCCATCGGACCACAACCACGTCCACGATCTACTCGCCCCCGTCTCACTCTCTGGACCTGGATATCCCAGTGCACCCTTTTCTGAACCGCTCACAGTCCTTCCCGGCGTCTCTGGCTTCTCACACCTGGACCCCCATCCCGCCCCGTGAAAGCATGGTTTCTACCATGATCGCGGGGACCCAGGACACCGAGTGGGGGATGCCCACCTCTCTGGAGGGCCACTTGGGGTCAGTTGCTATCTTCCACGAGGCACTCCAGCCTGCTCAGGTGAAGGCCCTCTTCTTGGCAGGTAGGTCCCTGGAGGAACCGTATGTTTTGTCCACTTCACCCAAGGAGGCTTGAAGGATAGGTAGATTGAACTGATGTTTGGGATGGGGACGTTAGTGGTCCAAACAGAGCAGAACAAGGAGGAAAGCAGGAGATAAGGGTGGGGACATGTCTTGACGGAGGACAATCCTCCAAAACTTCAAGCGGAACAGGAGGACCTGCTCCTCTTGCGCTCTGGATTTGAGGACACCCAGTCTTCTTGCTTTGACGTGACATCAAGTCTTCCTTCTTCTGTAGGACCAAATATCGCCTCACCCTTTAAGCCCGAAGGAGATTTTGGGGAACTGAGTAGCAAATTGCTTTTGTACTACACACCCCAGGTAAGGCCCAAGTCTGAATTTCTGCACACCTTTGGTCAGCCTCCTCTACAAGGAGGACCTTGCCTGATGTCAGGACCATGTTTGGCCATCCTCAGAGTTGTTCTTTTCCCTTTTTTTATTCTTCTTCTTCTTCTCCTTTGGTGGTTTTCTAGGCCTGTAAAAGCAACATCTGTCTGGACCTTTCTCCAAACCATAACCTGGATGGGAGGCTGACGGGGCATCAAGTGGTGAACTGGGATGTTAAGGTAGGTGGAAATCCATCCTCACGTGTCTGAGGAACCATCTTGGCTGTCGGGAGGAAATTGTCCCAGGTTCTCTCTGCAACTGTTAGCTCGTCCATAGGACCAAGTCAGGTCTCCAGGGCAGTTCTTCTACCCCATTTGGGGGTCTTCTGAAGTCCACGTTGTGATGGGTTTCTCAAGTCACAAAGCTTTTGTTTTGGGTTCCGCGCAGGATGTCATCAACTGTGTTGGCGGGATGGGAGCTCTCCTCCCCCTGCTGGACCAAATAGCATCTCAAAAGGAAGAAAGCAAAGAAATCCAGGAAATCCACGATTTGGTGGGCCCAGAGTTGACGTCTTCACAGAGCGCCCAAGGCTTACACATCCCCCTGGGGAAACCTTCAGGTGATAAAAAAAAATCTGCCATCTTGTAATGTGTGTGTGCGCGTGGGGGAAGAGAATAGCACAGATGGGCCAGGGAATTCTGGGAGTTGAAGTCCACCCATCTTAAAGCCACCAACACGATTACGAAGGTGATGTCCCTTGTTGGTTTTCCCAATTTTAGAGGGCAAGTTGGAGAAGAATGGAGTGGCCGCTTTTTTACTGCTGGTGAAGAACTTTCTGCGTGGTCACCAAGTCAATCAGGAGGGTTTGGTCCGATGCCATGGGCCTGCCATCATCGGAGCCTTGCTACAGAAGGTGAGCATCCATACACACGTCCGTAGAGTGGGCGGTGGTCTCATCTAGGTTTCCAATGTTTTGATCTCTGTTTCCCTTCTCGGTTACTTTATGAATCCAAACATGACCACGTTGCTTCCTGATCAACAGTGTTTCAACGTAATCTTCTTCCCAACCTCTCATTCTAGTTCTGGATCTGTTAATAGTCCTCCTGACCCTTGTTTTACAAATTCAGCCAAATCCGGCTAAGGGCTGCCCCTGATGAACCAAATACGGGTAGTTCTTGATTTATGGCCATAACTAGAACCCAATAATTCATTGTTAGCTGGCATGGTCATTAAGTGAGGCCTCACCTATCCAATTTTACAACATCATTTGTTGCCGTTAATAAACAAAACATCCTGTAATTTCAACTTGTGGTTTCCTGCTTCTACAGTGTCATGGTTTGTGGGAAGCCAACTGAGAAGGTTGCAGATAGCAATCATGTCAACCCATGATACTGAAGCCATCATAAATAACATGCCAGTTGCCAAGCACCCGAATCACAGTGACCACAGGGACACTGCAACGGTCATAAGTGCAAGGACCAATCATAAGTTAACTTTTTTTCAGAATTCTCTTAGCAGTTGCTAAAGAAATGGTTGTAAGTCAAGGACTTTGTAGTGTTGCACCATTTATTGCTGTTTCCCAAAAACAGAATTGTCCATTGTCAAAAATTCAAGATGGTGCCCCGCCCAACCATTTAATTGAAACTCCTCCCCTTTTTTATAAGCGTCATAACCTACGTAGTTTCAGACACATGATGGTGACCATCGTGGTTTAATTTTTCTGAGCCCGCCTGCCGTGGTGAGGCTTCCTTTGCCTTCTTTCTCTTCACACAATGTGTTTCCATAACTTTCTCTCGTGCCATTTTCTAGTATTTCTCCCTTCTTTGAAACCCAAGTGAGTGGAATAGGTCTCACTTTTCTCCTTTCCTGACGTGTGAGATTAAAGATCTCCCAACCAACTCTTGGTGAAGGTTGAAGGACCTCTTGATCCCTGATCCAGCAGGAGACCTGGTCCCGTCCCATAGTGATGTGTGGGGGCCCCAATTTCTCTTCAACTTCAGCGGGGATAATGGGCATCGTAGTCCTGAGCATCAGTTCCTTGGCGTTAGATCCCACGGGGTTGGGTCTGGAAGAGCGGAAGGAGTTTTGATGGATGGCCGGAAGAAGTCGCAGGACCTCTGCTCTTGGACAGGGTTCCTGGTCAGATACGGAGGACACAATCTTCATGCAGGTCTTCTCTCCGTGTTCTGCAGGTCTCCAGCCAGTTGATGGACATGAACGTCCTCGTGGCCTCCGAGATTCTGATGGAGGAGGTGGCCAACGAAGGAAACCACTTCTTGCTTCACCTCTTCTACCAGGCCCTTCTCTTTGACTTCCGCATCTGGACCAACAGCGACTTTGCCGTCCGGCTGAGTAAGGGACAGGGGGGGTCTAGATTGAAAGACCTATCCTCCTTGTGGAAAAGATTGGTCTTTCGAGAGAACGAGAAGACCTTTTCTTCTACGTGTGGAGCATCACAGAGTCTTTCCATGGGTTGAAATTCTTTCCCAGGGTCAATGATATCCTTTCACTTCCTGAGCCCTAAATTAGCTATGGAAGTCCGTCCTTTGGTCAAGTTGCCCCACTTCCATGATGTCTCAAGAGAGACGTGGGCGTAACCACTATCTAAGGAGGACCCTTGCCTTGAGAATAGGGTGGGCAGGTGTAGCTCACCTTCCTCCTCAACTTAATCTCTCTCTCTGATAGGTCACATCGACTACCTGTCCAACATAATTAAGGATCACAAACAAAGGATACGGAAGAAATATGGAACGCAGTACATCCTAGATTCCATCCGGACCTATTACGGGTGAGTTAAGAGAACAATGCAAAGTCCTCCTTGCTTGGGTCCTGGTCAAGGTGTCCCTTCCTCTAACAGAAAAACAGATCCCTTTTTTCTCTGTTATGCCCCTTTTCCTGCTTCTTCTCCTCAGAACCTACAAGGAGAAGCCGATGGCCACCGATAACCTCCGTACAGTGCAAAAATCCCTCTTCAGCCTGATCCAGGACTTCTTCTGCAGGAACATCTCCAGCGATGAGATGCAAAGCACTATGAACTACCTGGCAGCTGTAAATGATGAGAACCAGGTGGGTTGGGAACCGAACCAAGAACTTGCAGAAACAGGCTGGAGAACATCAGGATGCTTGGGTGGATGGATGGGTGGATGGGTGGGTGGATGGATGGATGGATGGATGGATGGATGAAGGGACGGATAGGAGG